CAACACGTGCCAATAAAATATCTGAACCAGCTTATACTAGTCTATTTTATGTGTATTCTAGGACTACGTTATTTAAATTTTGTCTTTTATGTTAATATAAAAGCTCCGTCTGTAGCTCCAGTTGTGCCTGTTCTGTTACTGATGCATGTTGCGCATTAAATCTTTGAACACACAGCTAAGGCGTTTTGAGTACATATTCTGTATCAGCACAGGTTCAGAAAGAATCTGAAGTCAAAACAACTATGAAATCTTTATTTGATAAATAAGAGAGTTTATTGAAGTTTAACAAAAACTAATTAACAATCTTCATGGACATTTAAAATTGAAATCCTGAAAAAGAAAGACTAATTCATGAGTCTTAATTATCTTCAGTCTTACCTAATAGGCAATCACTGATGGAATATATTTCAAGACGGAAAGTAAAATGGCTGGAAAAAAAAAAAAAAAAAAAAAAAAGTAACTTAGATTCTGGCTCAGGTACAAGGCAGGTAGGTATAGGGGCATAGGATGAACCGTCTGCTTCTCCGATTTACGCTTCCCAGTTTCATTATGCAAAGGAGACACAGATTTATTCCAACAGTTACATTAATACTAAATTAAAAGGTTAGCTTAATATTCTTCAGTATTTTGTGAATTGTTTAACTCGTTATTTTTCTAATAGGATTAGCAGTACTTTAACGTTTATTTCCAGTAACCTTACAACGTATTCCCATCTTTTCTTACTCATTTTAGGCCCACCAGCGGCCGAGCGGTAAAATCGCTGAACACTGGTAGTTCGGTGCGAGATTCGAATTTCGCTAACGGGCTGCCTATGTGCGCTTTCGGGGTTTCCCCATCTGTAACGTACATACGAGCCGGTTTCCTTAGAAAATCCTCCGGCCATTAAATAGACTGTCGAACTCAGCTGGCGCTCTGCAGCTTACCTAGCATAATTTAAATTCTCATATTGGACAAATTAAATGGAGAAAAGTAACGCATATACGCAAAATAGCGTTCCCGCAAGTCCGCGTTCGGCAAGAGTTCTACGTGTATTTTCCTCAGCATTTCAGCTTAAAGCTGAAAAATTTTCTTAATTTTACTCTGAAGTATAATGTTATATTTTTCTATGAGACCTAAATTTTAACATACAAAATTATATCATTTATAAAGATTTGGAAGGTTATAAAAACTTTAAAGAACTGTACAAAGGTTATAAAACATTTTTTCGCCTGCTTTTATTTCCTTGATACTTCTGTGTTTATGAGGATTACTACTGCTTAAGCAGTACTTTCTTGCTCGCTGAATTAAATCCGCCGTGGGCATGGTAATGAATATTCCTAAAGGAACTCCCGACAGCAGGTAAACTTGCTTGAGGAAAACAGAAGAGTAGCTTAAACCTCAGTAATCCAAAAAAAATGATGACGTAGTGGGTCATTGGGCGAGAAATCCAAGTATGAAGAAATAAACTGTGCTCCTAGCGCCATCTGTTAGCCGGTAATTGAGATAACTGTGAGTGGAAGGAAGTAATGCAGTGAAAAGAAGTAATTGTTTATTGTCCGTGCAAGTTATCAGTGAATTTTAAAAGCTAGGGTGAGTTTAGTTCCAAATTCAAAGTTCCTAAATTCACAGTTTTCAGTTAGGAAAAATAGTAGACACAAAATACAGTACTGAATTGCAAACGGAGAAACAAAATTTAGCTGTACATATTTACACTGTAAATGCTCATACAACGATGATATAATTATTCCAAATCCAGAGATTCTGCTTGAATAAAATTATGTCATGCAATAGTAATTAAAGTAGACACAAAATTCGTAGTGAAGTAAAATTAGAAAATATGAAGACGTTTTTAATGACTGCACACATAAGTTTAAAATTATTGAAAACAGTTTTCATATTCAACTGTGCAGATATAATTTATTTCCCTTCCCTCCCTAAAAATAAATACTTGCAAAGAAATTAAGCTTAATATAAAAGTCGCCTATTATTTTATAGCTTACACATCTCCCTCCTTCTTTTTACTTCCTTGTACGAAGTAAAAAGGAAGTATTGTAATCGCGAAAAGTTTCAGGCAGCAAATTTCAACGAAAATATCCCATTTTGACCTCTTACAAATGCAATTTAACGATGTATTTCCGTGATATCTGTACGTAAACGAATAAACCATCTTTTCCTGAAAAAATTATAAAACTGCTTTAAAATGATTCTGAAGAGAATTTTTCGTGGCGTCGTACGAACGTATGTACGTTCGTGCGTACGTGAGTACGTACGCACGTACGTATCTCGCATAACTCAAAACGAGTAGCCTCAGAACGTTGACTTTTTCTATAGGACTGCTATAACATGAAATGTGCACCTCGTATTTTGGTTGCAATCGGCCGCACCCAACGTATAAAATTATTTATAATATATCCACTCTGTTACCCGGCTCAGTGATCTCCTTTTCTTTACTCTTATATGTTTTGTAAATTGTACATTTCTTTCCAAAATGATTGATTTTGTTGTTCTTATCTTCCGGTTAGGGTTTTTATGCCTTTAGTAAATCTGTATGCAATATTTTTAGAATTATCACAATTTAAAATGTTTAAGTGCCGCTAAGCCTAATAATGTTTTTGATGGCGGCCGTTGCTCTTGTTTACATTTGAAACAGCAGGATAGTGATTTGTTGCCAATCTAGAGAACTTAGCTCGCAACAACAAAATAAAGCCTTTCATTTATTATTTAAATCTGCTTAATCCTTTCTGGAATTTTTTTTCGAGAATAGCGTTTTATATTACTTTTGTAATTTTTAATACAGATATTTTGAGTTTTTATGTATTTTTGCTGTCGCGAAGTGAAACTGAATTAACTGAATCAAATACTCAATCGTCTGTGAAAAACTGTTTCTTTTTGTTTTTGTTTTCTAATTTCTTTTATACATAGTTCTAGCTTTATTATAGTATTTGAATAAACAGTTGCAACGATTAATAATTCTTTAAATGATCAATTTGTGCTTTTGAGTATATGAACGAAATAATACTGTTAAGTGAACCTTGCGCCTGAGTTCGCTATGGTAAACAAATAGAGTGAATTTTAAAGAATGTATTTATTCTATTGTGATTTACGCGCTGTCGGCAAAGTAGGTTTAATTCAATCCAATAAGTTTAAATGAAATACAAGAAAAAATGCGTATAATTTAATATTCCGTACAAGGAAGTCATGTGGTGTACAGTCAGATTTTTTATAAATGCGTTTTGTATTTACTATTTATTTCATTTTCTTAATCTCGAAAACAACAGAATTTAAGGATTGATTAGTGGTGTTAGAATTTTAAGGATTTGAAATTGTAAAAAATTACGAAACAAATGCTTTACTCTTTTGAAAATGCGAATAATAAAAAAATACTTTTGTGTCTTTGTACAGATTCTTTAAACTAGGCGTGGTCTTCTAAGCTTGTTTTTTCCCCCCTTTTCTTTTTTTTTTTTTTTTATTTCGCTTATGGTTTTTGCCACTATCGTCAAACTTTGCCATTGACTTTTAAACTATCTCCTTATTTGCAATCCAGCTCAAATTTTGCGCATACATTACTTGTGGATGGCAATGCAGTTTGATGAAGTGAATTTTTAACCCAAATGGACGTTAGCCCAGAAGGGCTATTATTCTCGAAACGGCCTTTTGCCCACACTTTTGCGCGTTTGAGTCACTACAAACAGCTGAATCACTTTCCAAATTGTTGCCACCAAATATTATCGTCCTGTATTATATTTAAAAGCTAAAGGTGAAGAATCTGCATGAATGTATATATGTTTCTTGCACTGTGAAAAAACAACGGTAGTCTTCCACCCGAACATGGCTACAGGGAAACCCGATTTTTTAATTTGTTTTATTGCCTATTCCATAATTTGTAAAACTTTAACACATTTTTTATTAAAAAAAACTCAACAATTTCAAAGCGAGAAGTGTCAACATTGTAGGGAATAACATTTTTATATCCAGCGTGCCAGACTGGCTCTCGGAAATTCAAAAGATATGCTCTCTTTAAATATTTTTCGCAAAGTGGCGTTAGCTCAAATGGTCTCGAAACGCATATGTGTCTGTAAATAAATAAAAAAACGCCCGCTTAGGCATAATATAAAATCTGAAAGCTTTCAGATTTTATTTTTATTTTTTATTTTAATTCAGTTATACTTTTAAAAATCTTGAAGGTGTTTTCTGCACATATCTTCGTATAACAAATGAACTCAACTGTCAGTATTATATTGTTTGCACCACTGGAATGGGGAAAAATCTTGATGAAAAATGAAATTTGATAAAATGAAATTTGATGTTCTTTAAAATGTTTGAAGAATATTTAGCAAAAACTCAGAATTTGAGCTTTGCCGAATTTTCGCAAAAATTCAGTTGTTTCGACTATTTAAGGTAACAGAATTGTTGGAATCAAAAAGATTATTCATTGCTAAAAAACTATTTTTCAATTGATTATTTGGATAACAATGTGTTGAGAGTAAAAAGAGGAAAATAAAAGTTTTTATGTAAAACTCAGTTAACTAATGAACTAAATGAAGAAAACTTAATTTCACGAAACAACAGATTTAAAAGAAATCTTTATAAAAAATTATCTACGATTTAACAAATATCATGCATATAATAAAGCGTGGGCTCTGAAATAGAGAAATCTGTCAATTGAACTGCATTGTCAAAAATATAAGCTATTATCTTTATAAATTTATCAAGGGAGTACCAACCTTTATCAAATTTATCAACCACGTTTTTACGTAGGTCAATCAGGAAGTTTGTTGCACTACTGAGTAAATATGTTCCGCTTAAGACTATTTGGATGACACTGTGTGGCAACACTTCAGACATGTACCTTTTTTGCGTGACGTAGGAGCTTTCCCGAGGCAAGTTTAGTTTTTCTGATACTCAGTCGCAAACATGTCTCGACAGCTGCAAATAGTGTCCAAATTGGAATTTATGGACAGTCGCATGAAGTGTATGGTGAAAATGCAATGTCACGTCAAGCTATCGCGAAATGGTGCAACATGTTTGAGAATTTACGTACAAATATTGACGACGATGAGCGCGAGGGAAGACCATCAACTGCAACAAATTCGGAAATCGCTGCTCGCGTGAATGAATGCATTCTTCTAAACAGACGCACAACGATAGACGAAATCTTAGATAAACTGGATATTTCTCATGGAAGTGGGCATAAAATTATTGCCGATCACCTTGAATTTCGTAAAGTTTGTGCTCGATGGGTGCCACGTCTATTGACGGAGGAACATAAAAGAAAGCATTTTGAAAGTGCATTTGCATATCTGCAACGTTACCAAACGGAAGGAAATGAGTTTTTAGACAAAATTGTGACTGGAGATGAAACTTGGATTCACCACTTCTCACCCAAAATAAAACGCAGCTCGCTCGAGTGGAAACATTGCAGTTTTCCCTGACATGAACGGTGTTGAACTGTTCCACCTGCTGGAAAGGTGATGTTGATGCTGGATTTTGACAGAGAAGGCGTGGTGCATACAAAATTTATGCCGAAGGGTGCCACAATTAATGCATCTTCTTATTGTGAAACACTAACACGATTGTGACAATCACTTAAAAATCTACGGCCAGGTAAACTGTCGAATGGCATTGTGCTCCTGCATGATAATGCAAGATCATATGCAGCAAAACAAATGTGTGACCTTCTGAAAAAGTTAAGGTGGGAACTGGGGAATCACCCTTCCTTATAGCCCAGACCTTTCACCTCCTGACTTCCATGTGTTTGGTCCCATGAAACAAAAACTTTCAAAGCGACGGTACCATTCGGATGCCGAAGTGAAAGCTGCAGCTCACCAATGGTTATCGGACATTGGACGGGATTTCTTTGCAGAAAGCATCGAAAAACTTTTACCACGCCTCGACAAATGGTTAAATAACGGAGGTAATTACGTTGAAAAGTAGATTTTGAATTGAACTTTAAGATAAGATATAAATAAAGTTATTGTAAAATTTTGCTCCTGTTTTGTTTTCGTAGGCAGTGCAACTAACTTTTTGACTGACCCTCGTATTATTCGTAATATAAAATTGTAATTGAATTTTAAAAAGAGAATTATTTAGTCTCCTGTTCCCAAGAAACTTTAAGGTAATCTATTTTTCTTCTTTTAGTTTATTTATTTTATGAATTTTAAATAAAAGCATATTGCATAAACTTTACTTTTTTTAAAATTTAGTCTGAATTGTACTTTATCAAATTATTCAATGAAAATTGTTTCTCAACCATGAATAATCATTCTTTTATTTCCAACAATTCTTGTATTATTTACAATTTTATGATAAAATCTTAAGATAATACTTATTGTAAACCTTTATCGTAATTCTTGTGCATTAAAATTCATTTATATTATTCGTTCGTCATTAAGCTCGTATACCTTAAAATTCATGTATATTATCTGCGATTAAAAACCGATGTATTTAATCTTAAAGTATCTCGTACTGTATGCTCGCATTCTGCCTATTTTCTTAAATGCATTAATTATTTATTATTATTATTTTTTTTTTCCAGTGAGCTTTGTGCTTTCGAACTGAATTTTAAGTCCTTGAGACTATACTCTGCTAAGTATAATTGACCAACTGTCAATGATTCTTTTCTTAAATTAATACATCTGGCATGTATTCTGACGAATTATACGTGTAAGTCCGATGGGTGGAATCAAACGCGGGTATTTTAAAAAGAAACTCTAAGAATTGGAGGAAACATATCTTATCATTATCTGCGCAGGCTTGCAAATAGTAAATTTAAAAGTAATCTAATGATTAAAGTAATCTAATGATTTTCTCCCCTCCCAAGAGTGTGAAGAGTTGGTTTTATAAGTGAAATTTTTATAACAGACACATTTTTGGATGCTAGAATTTTAAAGTTCCATAAAAGAAATGCAACGAAATTGGCGTATTTTTCTCAAGAAAAATTTTAAAAATATAGAAACCAGCTTAACGATAATATAGAATATAGGAGATTGGACTAACTAAAGTTAATGAATAGCAAAGAACTTCCGAAAAATTATCAGCGTAAGTTCAGCTAGTTAAGACGAATATCTGAATGAATGAAAAAGAAAACGACCAGACATGTAAAATATATCAAAGAATAAAAATTAAAAAAAAAAAAAAAAAAAAAAAAAAAAAAAAAAAAAAAAAAAAACGAATGGAGATCTTTCACTGGATGCTTCACCTGAAACTATTTGCATGATCTTTATTTATGCACCTGTAAACATCATTCTTGTTTGAACAAATTTTTCACATACTTCTTGAACTATTCGTCATTATAAACACTCAATAGACAGTTGGTGCTATTTACGTTATATTACCATGCATTTATCATTCAAACAACTTCACAAGTTTGCCATTGGAGGAAACATATCTTACATTATCTACACAGTCTTGCAAATAGTAAATTTCGAGACAAAGCATAAGATCTTCAATTTATCTTTCAGATTTAATCTGTCAAAAATTGTTTAAATTATAGTTTAACAAGAAATTGAAAAGCAATAAATACTATTTTTAATTTAAATATTTTTAATAATACAATGAATTCTATTTAAGACGACCCTCCGTTGTTTCAGTTCCAAATATAATATATATGATATAGAAAGACATGCATACTTGAATATATTCATCAAATTAAGAGTTTTTTTTTTTTTTTTTTTTTTTTTTTTTTTTTTTTTTTTTTTAGGGAAACAGATGATGACATGCGCGTTTCGAAAAAAGTGCAAACCTTGCATTATTCACCAGAGTATTGGAATGGTGCACCACAAAAGCACCATCTTCAATGTAGGTTGGAGGCTTTGCGCTTCCGTCCTTTGGTACTGAACGTCGAACCTGTCGATTTTTTGATGAAAATACCAAAATTTAAATGATTTCTTATTACAGCATGTTGTTAGTTGCGGCTAAATCTTTGGTGATATTTGAAATTTGCACACTAGACATCAGACGATTAAATATGTCAGTTTTACCTCCTAAGCTTGTTGGCCGATTTAAGAAGGAAGTACCAAACTTTTTGTAAGGGAATGAGACAGCTGCAACTTTCCTTCAACCAGCTGACAAGAGATATGCAAAATACTTTTTTCCCACAATTTGTTTTATATTAAGCGTTTGACATTTATTTCTTTCTGCTTGCAATCTATCTTTGATAAGAGAAAATTCAATCTTCTAAGACAAAATGATTTTGCATACTCCATATTTTGTACCATAATTCAAGAATTGTTCACGGAATACAGATCTGTAAATGATTACATTTGAAATAAGGTTCCACACAATGCTTCCATTAGCATATTTTCAAACGTGAAATAAAATTTTCTTATGAATTGAACGAGTAATATAATTATTGTACATATCATGTATGATGCTAGACGTTGCATATGAAAGGTCTGACACATTTGAACGTCAATGATAACATGTTGTTAGTTGCGGCTGAAATTAATGCGGTTACTTCGAACTTTGGGGTTTTTAGATGATTATTAAACATCAGTTTGTACAGAATAAATTCTTTTAATAAATCAAAAATATATAGCCTTATAATAACATTAGCTTTGAACAGAGTAAAAACGAACTTGTCAAACAGAAGGGAAGCGTTCTTTTTGACAGGCTCGCGGAATCGAGATTCTTAGCGCACACGCGCTAGAGGGAGAAATCAGTACGTGACGTCTGCGTACACGTTAAAGAAATATGGGTAGAAGGTAAAGCGTCATAAACTAGAGAGTATAATTATGGAACTATTCTCGATTTGATAAAAATTGGAGATCGGTAAAAATACGAATTCATCGTGCATATAAACATAAAACAGGGACAGATTATGGAAAGAGCAGCTGAGTGGAAAAACTACAAGGGAAAATTAACTGCCGAAATAAATTGTAATAGTTTTTAAATTTCACTCAAACTAAGAAGCTAAAAACATTTTTTTAAAGAACAACTAATCTAATTTTTACGTAAGCTAAGAAGCGGGTTTAGATGCTAAAGCACATAACAAACATTAATGGAAGGAAAACTAATTTTTGCACTCCTTGTTAGTTCCGAAAATATTTTTATTTGCAGGAAGGAAATAGCATAATAATCTGTAATTATTCTTTGCATCGCCTTTTTCCTATTTATGTACATTTTTCCTGTACAATCTTTAAAAGATGGATCAGTGAGCAAATGGTGAACAATGTGCTCATCGATGAAGCAGTGGAGAATATTACACATACAATCATTCAGGAAGCTACGATTTCTATACCACTCACATCTACAAGTTTCCGGAAATACTCAAAACCATGGTGGCACCGTGATTGCCAGGAATCACTGAGACAACAGAGAAAAGTTTGGGGAGTCTTTCGTAGATACCCCACTTTGTTAAATCTTATTGCCTTCAAGAAAGCTAAAGCAAACGCAAGACGGGTAAGACGGCAGAGCCAGAGGGATTCTTGGATCACCTATGTGTCATCAATAACATCCTGTACGCCAAGCAAAAACATTTGGGAAAGAGTTAGAAAGGGATGTGGGATATATAAAGACCATTCACTCTCTCTCTTCTGGAAAAAGATGGCCGGATGATTAGCAATACTGCTGAAATAGCAAATGCCATCTGTGAGACCTTTGCTGCCATTTGCAGTGGCAGTAATTACCCACCAGCCTTTCTTTCTTTTAAGCATCAGTCCGAGAAGTTACCCATTCGTTTCAATTTTTCCAACTTGGAACCCTATAATGGTGATTTCAGCATGTTTGAGCTAAAGAGAGCTTTCTCCCATACTCATAAATCTAGTCCGGGTCCAGATGATATAAGCTATGGAAATGCTGAAGCATCTTTCCTTTAAGTCACTGACTACCCTTCTTGCTCTTTATAATCGAGTGTGGAAGGAGCACAACTTTCCTAGTGCCTGGAAGAAAGCTATAGTTATACCTATAGCAAAGCCAGGAAAAGATTCGAAAAATCCTTCCAACTACCGGCCGATAGCCCTCACCAGTTGTCTTTGCAAACTGTTTCAAAAAATGGTTAACCACCGTCTAGTATATTACCTTGAAAAATACAACATTATCTCCCCATATCAGAGTGGTTTCCGTAGAGGCAGAACTATCATCTACAATATGCTCCTTCTGGAAACCTCTATTCATAAAGCCTTTGTCAGAAGAAACCACCTGGTTTCTGTCTTCTTCGACATAGGAAAAGCTTACCATAAGACGTGGAGATACAGTATTTTGCGTGACATACAAACTAGTGGCTTGCGAGGCAACCTGCCTATCTTTATCCAAAATTTCTTGAAGGCGAGGACTTTTCAAGTAAAAATTGGCTCGGTACTTTCAGATGTCTTTGTACAAGAAGAGAGTGTGCCTCAAAGCTGTGTTCTGAGTGTGACACTTTTCAGTTTAAAAATAAACTCTGTTCTAAAGGAACTTCCTGCAAGTGTCTCAGGCTTTTTATATGTTGACGATC